CTCAACATCAAGAAAACAAAGATTCTCACCACTGGGCCAATTGGCAGCATCGGTATAGATGGTGAAGAGATTGGGATAGTTAACAGTTTTTGTTTACTTGGTTCCACAGCCAACACTATTGGTAACAGGAGCCAGGAAATCAAGAAATGGATTGCATTGGGAAAGTCAGCTGTGAGGGACCTCTCAAGAGCACTGAAGAGCAATGATGTCAGACTGGAGACTAAGGTGCGCCTGATCCAGGCTATAGTCTTCACAATTATGTGCTATGCATCAGAGAGTTGAACAGTGAATAGGGTTGATAGAAAGAGAATTGATGCCTTTGAGCTCTGGTGCTGGAGACGAGTGTTGAATATACCATGGACTGCCAGGAGAACAAACAGGTTTGTCCTAGAGAAGGTGAAACCAGAATGCTCCTTGGAATCAAGGATTCTGAAGCTTCGTCTGGCATACTTTGGGCATGTAGCAAGGAGGGACTGGTCCTTGGAGAGGAACATCGTGTTTGCCAGAGTGGAGGGGCGGTGAAGGAGAGGAAGACATTCGATGAGATGGATCGATTCTGTTACTGGAGTGGTGGGAATAAGTGCATTTGAGATGGCTAGGTTGGCACAGGATAGAACAGCATTTAGAGCTCTTGTACATAGGGTCGCTATGAGTTGCAAGTGATCCGATGGCACATAACAACAATATAACAACAAATCATTTCCAACTATTAAGAGTAGATTACTGATATATGTCACTACATAGACAAACCACGAAAATACGGTAAGGAAAAAGTCTATCACAAAAAACACATGGTATATGTGAAATATACAGAATATGAAAATCTGCAGACAATGAATATAGATGAATTGTGGCCTAAAGATTTGCCCAGGGGTAGGCAATGACTGATTATGGACAGTGGATTTCTTTTTGGAGTAGTGAAAATATTCTAAATTACCACTGTGGTAAGGATTTAAAAAAACTAGGAATATGCTAAAAGTCTGTGAATTGTGAAGAGGCAGATAGATGCTCATGTTCATTATTAAATAAATCTTTTCAAAAGTAAAGGTCTGAAAACCTACACTGAAATGACTAAAACAGTAAGTGAGCCAATTTTTTCTTATTAACAGTGATACTAGCACAAATAATTATTTAGTAATATTGTTCTTAGGGCAGTAATATTGTTCTTTAGGTTTGCCCTCAGGCATTTATAATGACATCTTTTTAACTCAGTCTCAGTTAAATAAAATTTTTATTATGCTGACCAATCAGTATCTCTTACATGTAGAGAACCTAAAACAATTATTTAGAAAATCAGTTAACTCACAAATATTTTTACATCTGACCTTCATATTAATGAGAAAAACTTCAATAGTTTCTTAAGAGGTTCATGTATAAAGGTATTTGTGATTTTATAAAGGAGAAAAGGGAAATAAATCTCAAGCTTTTTCTTTGTTTGAAAATTACATTTCTAAAAAAAAAAAGAAAATTACATTTCTATTTATTTCATTTTGTGATCTTGCTTTCTTATGATGCTCAAATATGATTCTACTATTACTTTGAAAAAGAGATATAAGTTTATTATTTTAAAACTTTAAAATATATCTAAGATGTCTTAAGATCTTAAGTATTTATTAGAAGCTATTTTTCTTTCCATATGTAATTTTTATATGTGTGTGTGTGTATGTGTGTAGATATACCTATATCTATGAGACAGAGAGAGAGAGAGTAGCTATGTTTCTTATCATACCTGCATCTTGACAGATCTGTCTAAATAACATCCTCATATTTTCCAACTCGTCATAAGCATCTTACCTTTGTCTTGGCAGGCTAATGGAGGGTTGTTTATGGCACCTCTTGCTAAGGCTAAAGAGCTTATGTACAATTTTCTGAGCCTTTAGGAAAAGTTGCTTCATGCTGTTCTCCAGTTGTTCATAACGGCGCTGAAAATTAGAATCCATTGTCCACAAATGCATTATGGTAGATGTGTTGAGGAAATAATTCATGGGTAGCCTTTTCATAAAAAACTTGAATTCATCTGAAAAACAAAAAATTCAACATTCTAATTATGAAATAATTATCTTTTTCCAATCAAAATACATTTAACATTTTAATATTAAAATAAAAGGCTATAATACTTTTATTTCTTATATATAACAAATAAATAGATAATAGAATTTTTTCAGAATTATTCCTTTTTTGTTGATTTATCTTAAAATAGAAAACCTCTGTTGGCCTAGTGTCAAGAAGCTGGATTGTAATCCCAGAAGGTACTTGGTTTGAGGCTACCAGCTGCTCTGCCTAAGAAGGATATGGAATCTCCTCCCGTGCAATAGACTGCCTCTGAAAACCCATCAGAGGGTCAGCTATGAGTCGGTTCTGACTCTATGGTACACAAAAACAACAACAACAACATGGTAAATGACATTAAAACATCTTTTTCTGATATGAATCATTCTGAGAGAAAGTTTAAGAACAACGTTTTCGTATTCTCCTTTCTTTGGTATGTGAATGAACTTCCTATGATACATTGTGGTTGTTGATCTAACTTTGATTTTTGGCATTACAATTAATAATTCTTCTTAAATAACGCACATAAAATTTTCCCAGAAAATTTTATTAACAGATAACCATGTATAAATAATTACCATTGAATTGCTTTAATAATGTTTAAAAATAATTTTTAGACCTTTTAATTATTACTATAAACTTATCCTATAATCACTTAAAAAGTAAATGCTCCCTCAAAAAACTTAAAAATAATTTATTTCTCCATGTAAGTTTTAGCTTTAGATTGTAAAAATAACTCATCCCTGGAATTGTCTTCTTAAAAATATATTATCAGCCCAATATAGTAATAAAATAGAAAGTATAATAACAAACATAATAATAAAAATTAGCTACTGGTTATCTAAACAAAAGACCATAGAATTTTCCCTCATATCCCTTTTGTTTTGAAAAATTATTATGACTGAAGTGTCAAAATATATACTTTCATTGCTTTTAACACTGTTTAAACTACTCATTTTGCTAAGGATAACATGTTATACCCATTTTATGTTACATATATTGATTGAGATTCTTCAGTTAACACATGCACATGTGCACACACATACACACCAACCAAATCCCCACTGCCAGTACCACCACAAGGCTTAGAAAGCACTTCCAATGATTAAAGTATTATTTGGTGATTCAGTACATACCACATTTTTACATCTGATCTATAAATAATAAGTATACTATTTAAACTTCTATTTTATCTTGATTTTCCTTCTGTAAGTAATATATAAAGTTCTCTCCTCGTCGTCACATCAGAATTAGTTCACAGCGGACATTACACTGGATTTCCAAGACTGTAAATTATCTTACAGATGATTGTCATCTATCTGCTAAGAAGCTCTTGGTGGATTTGAACTGCCAGAAAGGAATGGCCTTTTGGGCTAGAAGGCAACTCCCTGGGGATTAAGTAACATAATTTGGCATTAAAGTTCTATGATATCATGGTTCTGTTTAAATGTCAGCAGTTTGTGCTTTTATATTGAAAATTTAATGAATTTTGGCAAGAATTTTAAGCATATTTTAATTGTACAGAGGTGTTATTAGTAGCATTTTAAATTCACCAAATTATTATTTATGTGTGCATTAGAGCTATTTCAAAATTCATATCCAAACTATTTCAGAACTAACAGAAAAGATAGTATTTTAATAACATCAAACATGCTATATTTATGAGTATTAAAATAATTATTTTTTTCCTATAACAGATAAATACAGAACACTTGCATTTGTCAAACTTTAACAATATATATAATCTTTGGCCAGAAGAGAAGGAAGAATAAAACCAAGAAAAGTGAGAACTTATATTTTTCTTTTCAGCAATGAACTGTGTAGAAAGGTTTTAGAAAACACATTTACTTAATATGCTTCAAAAATTTTTCCAAAAGTAAACAGCTTATAAATAATATATGAATTTTCAAATTCCACTTTGAGAGTACTGTACATTTTCTTTTGTCCCATATGCCTCTTTTGAGAAATTTCTTCTCTTGAATGAAGGAATTGATGCATGAAAACTGGAAAACATCCTTGAATTATACACAGAGCAGATGTCACTACTTGGAAAATTAATTATTCATTTTATTGTCATCTTTTACTTGAACACTTTTGATAAGGCTTTTATTTATGTATGCATATTTCAATTATTTTTACTCTCTTCTACAATAGAACTGGACATATTCTAAGTCTGTAAATTTTATTCAAATTAAGGAACATAATAAGGGGGATTTTATTTACCAAAGTCTATATGATAGCGAATGCTAACTGAAAACTATTAGTATGTATTTTCTAGGAAATACATTTAACATGACATATGAAAAATTGCTTCATTATGAAGTCATTAAGAGTCACCAGTGACAGTCACCCAAAATATTTATTGAACACCTGTTGTGCACACAGATACAGATGTTTTAGTCTATGGCAACAAATATGGCTCTTTCATTTCTAAAATTATTACTAGCTAATGTGCAACTAATTTCAAGTGAAAAAAATATCATTTTAAAGTATGTGAAATCTGTTTTACTTTGAAGTTAATAGGATTATCAGAAATATTCCTGGGAATAACTTTCACTTTTGGCACTTAGTAAAATTTGAATATGTAGTATATTAATAAAATGTAAATGACAACTTCAGCGTATTTCTGTATATTGATTCACTTAACTAAAAAAAAATAGAATAATCAGAAAGACAAAAATAACAACAGATTTGATCTACATTACTTTCCAATGGCTATAGAATATAAAATATTTTTTTGTTTTTAAGATTAATATTTTTCTAAAAGAAAGAAAGTGACATGTAGATACCATTGAGAAATTAAATTTAGTAGTTAGGCTGTATTGAATGATGTTGCTATTATGTGCTGTTGAACTGGAACCAGCTTATGAATGATATTCCTTGGGTTTTCAGAGGTTATAAATCACATGAGAAGAGGTTGGCCATCTTCCTTCCTCTCAGGAGCAACTTGTGTATGCAAATTACCTGATTTAGAGTCAGTAACACTACACCCTATACCTAAGGTACCAGAAATTCCTCAGATTATTAGATGTTGTTATTGTTAGATATAAGTTGAGTAAAGATGCTTCTAGGTGATATAGCACTGGTCTGTGCATTGCTGTACAGAGGTAATTCATGGTTGCTGTGATGCTAAACACTGTGACACTGATGTGACAAATGTGATAATGGTTACTCATGAAAGACAGTGTTTGGTGGAGCTACCTGAATAAAACAAGCTTGGAAGTAAGAATGGCATCTACTTCCGAAATGGCTTGCCTCTGGAAACTCTATGAACAGTGCTCAGGCCTTTCGTTCATAGGGTCTAGGGTCTCTATGACTCTACGACTTGACTCAGTGGCACTTAACAACAACAACAGCAACCGATTTAAAAACGCATTTGGGTCTTTGGTTTTAACTGGTTTTATCCAAACAGTGCTAAGTGGTATAGCACTGGTCTGTGCATTGCTGTACAGAGGTAGCTCACAGTTGCTGTGATGATAAACACTGACACTGATTAGGTCCTTCTTTCATAGGGTCACTATGAGTCATCTACAACTCGACAGCACTTAACAACAACAACATTACTTCTAAGAAATAGTTTTGCTGCAACCCTCCACCATAGATCTATTTGTTTTTTAAATGGCCCACTGCACCAACACCACAATTCAAAGGCAATAATTCTTATTCTGATGAGGCAATCTTGCTTGCTCAAAGTGAGGATGACTTGAAGCACTTGCTGCAGAAGGAACACTGCAGCCCTTAATATGAATTGAATCTCAATATCAAGAAAACAAAAATCCTCACCACTCAACCAATAGGCAACATCATGATAGATGGAGAAAAGATTGAGATTGTTAATGACTTTATCTTACTTGGATCCACAATAAATATACTTGGTACCAGCACAGAAGATCAGAAGACATATTGCACCAGGAAAATCTGTAGTCAGGAACCTTTTCAAATGATTGAGGGGCAATGATGTCAATTTGAGGTATAAAATGCACTTGATTTAAGCCATGGTCTTTTCAGTACTTGCTATGCATCTGAGAACTGAACAATGTACAAAGATGACAGAAGGATTGATGCCTTTGAAGTACTAAGTATTCCATGGAGCAAGTGCATAGAGGGTGCTTTTTGGAGGCATTGATGATGAAACTTAATCTCAATAACTTTGAACAAGTTACTAAAAGAGGATATTTTTAGGGGAATGACATCATGCTTGGGAAGGTGGAGGGACAGCAAAGGAGAGAAAGACCTTCAATAAGTTGAATAGACACAATGACTACAGCAATGAGCTTGAATATGTCAGGGATTGTAAGAATGACACAGGATAGGACAGGGTTCAAAGTCTTTGTTCGTAGGGTCACTATCAATAACAGAGATGAGTTTAAAGTGAATCATTGGTGGTGGTGTTGTAGTTATGTGCCCTTGTGACTCACAGTGATCCTTATGTTCAGCGCTCCTGAAACCTGCTCTATCTTGCACCAATTTCACTGTCTCTAACACACCTACTCTCATTACCACAGTCACTGTATCAATTCATCTCATTGATGCTCTCCTTCTTTCTCTCCCTCCCTCCACCCTTCCAAGCATGATGCTCCTCTCTGAGGACTGGTCCCTCTTTGCAACATGCCCAAAATATGTCAGACTATGCTTCAGAGTCCTTGCCTGAAAGGAGCATGCTGGTTTCATCCTCTCTAGGATGAGCTTTTTGTCTTCCTGGCAGCTTCTGGTCTATTCAAAACTCTTCTTCAGTACTACAACTCAAAGGCATCAATTCTCTTTCTATGATCACGAGTCATTGTCCAGCTCTCTGATGCATAGCAAGCAACTGCAAAGACTATGGCCTGGATCAGGCATGCCTTCACCTGCAGGCTGATGTTGTTGTTCTTCAATACCCTGGAGAAGTCCCTGACTGCTGTCTTTCCCAGTGCAATTCATTTCTTGATTTCCTGCCTGCTGGTACCAAGAGTGTTGATTTTGGTGCCA